CTCCTGAATTTATTACTGGATTTATTTCATTATTATTATTATCTATTATTATTATTTATGTTATATTATATTATTATAGTAAGTATTATTATTATTTCCCTCCTGAATTCATTATTATTACTATTATTTCCCTCTTGAATTTATTATTATTATTATTATTATTATTATTACTATTATTTCCCTCCTGAATTTATGACTGGATTTATTCAAAATCCTGAGGGAACTGTTTTTCCCGCCAAATTTTCCCCCCTGAAATAGTTTTCCCCCCTCACCCCACTCTTTCTTCCCCCTTCTGCGCATGTGCAGAACCATCCCTATTTCCCCCTCCTAATCTGTTCTGCCTTAGCAACAGGGTGACGTCAAAGCGGACCAATCAGCGGGCGGATTCCACCCTCCTCCTCCTCCTCCTCCTCCCTCCCTTTCGTCCGCTCGTATTCCATCTTGCTCCTTCCAGAGCTTTCCAGTCCTTGAGCCTTTCACACTCCAGCCAATCAGAGCGCACATAGTTCCTTTCCCGACCAATCGTGAACCGAGCAGCTCCGTAAGTCCCGCCTCTTCTTGCTCTCTCGCTTTGGTCGAATGAAGCATTCGTTTCAAGTATCCTTCCGCGCTTTGTTTCAATATTCCCCCTTTTAAAAACACAACGAGTCATAAGGAACCGTCAACGACTATTGTAATGTCTAACTTAGGGGAGATAAACACTCCTGTCGAGATATAACGGCGCGTTTCAGCGTTTCGAAGTGAGGGACTCTTTTGTTCCCTTCTGGCGGAAGGTTCTCGGCGTGACGTAACAAGGGGGCGTGGCTTAGACTATAAATAGGCGGGCGCCGTTGGCGGGTGGCATTAGACGGGCGGGCTTCGGAGGTGCATTGACTCATTTGCGTGAGGAACGAGAACACGATCGAGTTCGGCCTACAATTTTTGGAGGGGGAGACGCTTCAAGGAGTGGTAAGGATCCGAATGAGGGAAGGGGAGGATTTGACTCAAATTGACTATGCAAATTTATGCAAATTTCGATATTGGAGTAAGGCCTCCATGGCGACGGCGGGCGCCTATTGTGCTGTTCGCCCTCAAGGAAAAGCGTCACGGCGGCCCATTATGGCGGCGGAGAGGCCTTTGGTGACGAGGCCGGCCTGGCCTTGCCTTTCCCGCGGGGATGGGGCGGCCTTGGCACGGAGCGGGGCGAGCGGGACGGTGAGGCCGCGACAGCTTAGGCCTTGGCCCGCCTCTCGAAGTAATCATGGCCGCGGGGAAGGAGGAAGCTCTGGACGTCGCTTGAGGCGCCAGAGGAGAAGGACAAGATGGCGGCCAGGGGGGAGGAGGAGGAGGGAAGGGGCGGGGCTTCACGTGTGACGTCACAGGCCTACCCATTCGAGGCTTTCCAGGGAGCCCCCTAGCGGCCATTTCCAATACATTCTCTGGGCATTTAATTGACAAGCCCTAAACCAGGCATGGGCAAACTTAAGCCTTCCCTCTGGACTTCAACTCCCAGAATTCCCTTCTCTTTCCCCTTGAGTTGCTTAAACTGAAGTCCAAAAACATCTGAAGGGCCCAAGTTTGCCCGTAAGTGGCTGAAGGGGAAAAGAAAGAGACCTGAGGGTGTTAGGAATGCTGGGAGTTGAAGGCCAAAATCATGCCTGCCCTAAACAGGGCTTCAAATTCCTTCACTTAGTAAGTGAAGGAATTTGAGGGCCTGTTTAGGGCAGGCATGATTTTGGACTTCAACTCCCAGCCTTAATTAATTTAATTTAATTGACAAGCCCTAAACCAGGCATGGGCAAACTTAGGCCTTCCCTCTGGACTTCAACTCCCAGCATTCCTAACAGCTCCAGGCCCCTTCCCCCCTCTGTTACTTAAACTGAAGTCCAAAAACATCTGAAGGGCCCAAGTTTGCCCATAAGTGGCTGAGGGGGAAAAGGAAGAGGCCTGAGGCTGTTAGGAATGCTGGGAGTTGAAGTCCAAAACACCTAGAGGACCCAAGTTTGCCCATGCCTGCCCTAAACAGGCCCTCAAATTCCTTCACTTAGTAAATGAAGGAATTTGAGGGCCTGTTTAGGGCAGGCACGATTTTGGACTTCAACTCCCAGCATTCCTAACAGCCTTAGTTAAACTGAAGTCCAAAAACATCTGAAGGACCCAAGTTTGCCCGTAAGTGGCTGAGGGGGAAAAGGAAGAGGCCTGAGGCTGTTAGGAATGCTGGGAGTTGAAGTCTAAAATATGCCTGCCCTAAACGGGCCCTCAAATTCCTTCACTTGCTATAGAGCAGTGGTTCTCAACCTGTGGGTCCCCAGGTGTTTTGGCTTTCAACTCCCAGAAATCCTAACAGCTGGTAAACTGGCTGGGATTTCTGGGAGTTGTAGGCCAAAACACCATGGGTTGAGAACCACTGCTATAGAGGTTGATGCCACTGTAACTGCCATGGAAGTCCAAAACACTAGAGGACCCAAGTTTGCCCGTGCCTGCCCTAAACAGGTCCTCAAATTCCTTCACTTACTATAGAGCAGGTTCTCAGCCTGTGGGTCCCCAGGTGTTTTTGGCCTTCAACTCCCAGAAATCCTAACAGCTGGTAAACTGGCTGGGATTTCTTGGCATTGTAGGTGGGGACCCACAGGTTGAGAACCACTGCTCTATAGTAAGTGAAGGAATTTGAGGGCCTGTTTAGGGCAGGCATGATTTTGGACTTCAACTCCCAGCATTCCTAACAGCCTTAGTTAAACTGAAGTCCAAAAACATCTGAAAGGCCCAAGTTTGCCCGTAAGTGGCTGAGGGGGAAAAGGAAGAGGCCTGAGGCTGTTAGGAATGCTGGGAGTTGAAGTCTAAAATACCTAGGGAAAGTTTGCCCATGCCTGCCTAAGACACTAAAGGTTAATTCCTCATGCCATGAAGCAGTGGTTCTCAACCTGTGGGTCCCCTAGGAGTTTTGGCCTACAACTCTCAGAAATCCCAGCCAGTTTACCAGTTTTTAGGATTTCTGGGAGTTGAAAGCCAAAAACATCTGGGACCCCCGGTTGAGAACCACTGCTATAGAGGTTGATGCCACTGTAACTGCCATGTATCAGTGCTTTAAAAACCCTGGGACATGTGGCTAATCTTGAGTTTGTAATAATAATAATGTTTGATACCCAACCTGGCAGGCCTTCAAATTCCTTCACTTACTATAGAGCAGTGGTTCTCAACCTGTGGGTCCCCAGGTGTTTTGGCCTACAACTCCCAGAAATCCCAGCCAGTTCACCAGTGTTTAGGATTTCTGGGAGTCGAAAGCCAAAAACCTCTGGGGACCCCAGGTTGAGAACCACTGCTATAGAGGTTGATGCCACTGTAACTGCCATGAATCAATATTTAAAAACCTTGGGATATGTGGCTAATCTTGTGTTTCTAATAATAATAATAATAATGTTTGATACCCAGACTATTATCTACTTAGTTACATAATAATATAGCTCCATGCTCAGAATATTTTCTGCTTAGTTATACAATACAGTAATATTATACAATACAATAATAATATACAATAATACAGTGCTCCATGCAGTCATGCTGGCCACATGACCTTGGAGGTGTCTACGGACAATGCTGACTCTTCGGCTTAGAAATGGTGATGAGCACCAACCCTCAGAGTTGGATACAACTGGACTTAATGTCGGGGGGGGGGAGGGAACCAATCAACAATGTACATAGTAGTAATAATAATAATATAGTCCAATGCTTGGAATATTGTGTATTTAGATGTAATCATAATACAGTCCAATGCTCGGAATATTGTCTACTTAGTTATATCATAATAATAACGATATAGTTCAATGCTCAGTACATTGTCTACTTAGTTATATTATAATTATATAGTCCAATGCTCAGAATATTTTCTACTTAGTTATATAATAATACAGTGCTCCATGCAGTCATGCTGGCCAGATGACCTTGGAGGTGTCTACGGACAATGCTGGCTCTTCGGGTTAGAAACAGTGATGAGCACCAACCCTCATAGTCGGATAGGACTGGATTTAATGTCAGGAAAACAAATCAACAGCAACCTATATAGTAATAATATAGTTCAATGCTCAGATTATTGTCTACTTAGTTATACAAATTCCTTCACTTACTATAGTCTCTCTCCCCCCAAATGGTGTGTGTGTATGTATATATATATATATCTCCCTCCAACCTTATTTAAGCTCCTGCACTTTAGTTTGGCCCTCATTCCTGTAACCTCGACACTAATGGCATTGCACTTTCCCTCTGCTCTACTTAGGAACCATTGCACTGACTTTGAGCCCACCCACTTCCAAACCCAGCATTGATTTTTGTTCAGCCATGATATTGCTTTTATGATATTGCTCTGTGATTGTGATATGTTTTTATTTGATTGCTGTTTGTTGATTTTATTTTAATGTGCCTGTTTTAATCTATAATTTTTGTCCCTTTGTAAGGTGCCCCGAGTCCCCTTGGGGAGATAGAGACGGGGTATAAAAATGTTATTATTTCTATATTCTATACAGATTTTAACAGCTTAACTGTTTGTTGTGTTGTTTGAGGCCTCACTTGAGTTGTATGTTACATCTTTTAGCCAAGGTTGTTCAACGGTTTTTTTCTCAAATGTTTGTTTGAATTGTTTTGATTTGTTAATAGGGGGCATAGCATTAAATGTTTGCCATCTTTTGTTTTTTGCTGCCCTGAGTATTTGGGGGGAGAGGGCAGATTAAAAATAAAGATTATTATTTATTACGAAACTTCCATATCGCCTTTCTCGGTTTATGACAACAGCCTAGTCAAGTTGACTTTATTTCTATTTATATTGAAACATTTATATTCCGCCCTTCTCACCCTGCAGGTGACTCTGTGTAGAGCACAACATCTATATAGCAAATATTCAATGCTAGGACATAAAACTATTTTTATACCCTGCCTGAGGAGGACTTGGGGTGGCTTACATGGGGACCAAGCCTGGGCAACACAGTTAAAATGTAACACATTAAAATACAAAACAATATAACAAAATAAAACAACATTAAATAATGTATAAAAGGCATGGGAACCAACAATCAGTAAACAATCTTATTTATCATTAGAGAAGGTGCCATTTCTAAACAGTTTTAAGTGTTGCCTGTCTCTGAGCCGAGTGGAGAGGAGTGTTTTGCTACTTGATCTTGGGAGTCTATCTGGCTTGTATGGAAAGTGTCTCAAGTATCCAGGTTAAAACCAGCACCTTAAATTGGGTCCAGAAACTAATTGGGAGCCAGTGGAGTTTCCTCAGCGGGCGGGTGGTGCCATGGCATCCAGTACTGTAATTTTAATGACTGCCTATACTATATGTGCTCTGTATAGGATGCCATGTTATTAAAAGAAAAGAGATCTAGTTACTAAATATGGTAATCTCCTTTGTGCCCGTACATTTCCTATCTGAATGATAAGAAGGCTGGGGCATAATGGAGGTTGTAGTTCAGCTTTCAGGGCTTTCCCCATTGTAGAATGAATACAGCCTTGTAACGGGATGCTGGTATTTGTAGTTTTTAAAGTTTTTTTTTTTTTTTTTTGCTTTCTTTGTCCAAGAATATGTGTGCCTTGCGAGTCTACATGTCCCAGGGCTTTTTTTTTTTTAAAGCATTGACACATGGCAATTGCTGTGGCATCAACCTGACTTAGACTATCCCAAATTACTGCCTGGTTTGTAGGGTCAGTTTTGAATGCCTGCTGGGCCATGCAAAGTCAAATCCCTGATTTACATTGTATCACATATATTCTGCTTTCTCTTTTGAGAGCCCAGAGTAGGATAGTGAGTCATTGCAGTGGAATATCTTTTTTTAAAGTACTGCAAATAAATGGGAACGATGTGGCACTTTGTGGAGGATGAATTGAATCAGATTACTTTCCTAGTCATTGCTAGAAGTCTGCCTGTGACTCACTGGCAGCTGACAGGGCATGAGATAGCGGCTTTGCCTACTTAAACCCTTGAATTGTCTATCACAGGACATTGGGTGGGGTACAAGCTTCATTGTGAAAGAAACATTTAAATTGCAAATTGGTTTGCGACTGTAGCAGAGCTTGATAGATTTTATGCTGTTTAAACTGTTTTGAGTGCCACTCCAGTGTCTTCAGGCTTCTGAGTAGCCATGACTCAAAATGCTTTAAATTACAGTGCCTTGAAAAACAGGACATGTTGCTCATGTAATGATAGTAATTACAATAATTCAAAACAAGCTGGGTTTTAAAAACTTTTTGCATGCATTGCTATAGGAAGAACATAAGCAGTTAAATCTGATCAGAATACCCCCGCCCCTCTTCTGTTGCAGTTAAAATGCAGATCTTTGTGAAGACCTTGACTGGCAAGACCATCACCTTGGAGGTGGAGCCAAGCGACACTATTGAGAATGTCAAGGCTAAGATCCAAGACAAAGAGGGCATTCCACCTGATCAGCAGAGGCTGATCTTTGCCGGCAAACAGCTGGAAGATGGACGCACCCTTTCAGATTACAACATCCAGAAAGAATCCACTCTCCATCTTGTGTTGCGTTTGAGGGGAGGCATGCAGATCTTTGTGAAGACCCTGACGGGCAAGACCATCACACTGGAGGTTGAACCCAGTGACACCATTGAGAACGTGAAAGCCAAGATCCAGGACAAAGAAGGCATCCCCCCAGATCAACAGAGGTTGATCTTTGCTGGCAAACAGCTTGAAGATGGCCGCACTCTCTCAGATTACAACATCCAGAAAGAATCCACCCTCCATCTTGTGCTGCGTTTGAGAGGAGGCATGCAGATCTTTGTGAAAACCTTGACTGGCAAGACCATCACTCTAGAAGTAGAGCCCAGTGACACCATTGAGAATGTCAAGGCCAAGATCCAAGACAAAGAAGGCATCCCCCCAGACCAACAGAGGTTGATCTTTGCTGGCAAACAGCTTGAAGATGGACGTACTCTCTCAGATTACAACATCCAGAAAGAATCTACTCTCCACCTCGTACTGCGTCTCAGGGGAGGCATGCAGATCTTTGTGAAGACCTTGACTGGCAAGACCATTACTCTAGAGGTTGAACCAAGTGACACCATTGAGAATGTGAAAGCCAAGATCCAGGACAAAGAAGGCATCCCTCCAGACCAGCAGAGGTTGATCTTTGCCGGCAAACAGCTTGAAGATGGTCGCACTCTGTCAGATTACAATATCCAGAAAGAGTCCACCCTCCACCTTGTGCTGCGGCTCCGGGGAGGCATGCAGATCTTTGTGAAGACCCTGACTGGCAAGACCATCACTCTAGAGGTCGAACCAAGCGATACAATTGAGAATGTCAAGGCAAAGATCCAGGACAAGGAAGGCATCCCCCCAGACCAGCAGAGGTTGATCTTTGCCGGCAAGCAGCTTGAAGATGGCCGCACCCTTTCCGACTACAACATCCAGAAAGAATCCACCCTCCATCTTGTTCTGCGACTTAGGGGAGGCATGCAGATCTTTGTGAAGACCTTGACTGGCAAAACCATCACTCTCGAAGTAGAGCCCAGTGACACTATTGAGAATGTCAAGGCCAAGATCCAGGACAAAGAAGGCATCCCCCCAGACCAGCAGAGGCTCATCTTTGCCGGCAAACAGCTTGAAGATGGCCGCACTCTCTCAGATTACAACATCCAGAAAGAGTCAACACTCCATCTTGTGCTCCGACTCAGGGGAGGCATGCAGATCTTTGTGAAGACCTTGACTGGCAAGACCATCACCCTGGAGGTTGAACCAAGCGACACAATTGAGAACGTCAAGGCCAAGATCCAAGACAAAGAAGGCATCCCCCCAGACCAACAGAGGTTGATCTTTGCTGGCAAACAGCTTGAAGATGGACGTACTCTCTCAGATTACAACATCCAGAAAGAATCTACTCTCCACCTCGTACTGCGTCTCAGGGGAGGCATGCAGATCTTTGTGAAGACCTTGACTGGAAAGACCATTACTCTTGAAGTTGAACCAAGCGACACCATTGAGAACGTCAAGGCTAAGATCCAGGACAAAGAAGGCATCCCCCCAGACCAGCAGAGGCTCATCTTTGCTGGGAAGCAACTTGAAGATGGACGCACTCTCTCAGATTACAACATCCAGAAAGAATCCACCCTCCACCTTGTGCTGCGACTTAGGGGAGGCATGCAGATTTTCGTGAAGACCTTGACTGGCAAGACCATCACTCTCGAAGTAGAGCCGAGCGACACAATTGAGAACGTCAAGGCCAAGATCCAAGACAAAGAAGGCATCCCCCCAGACCAACAGAGGCTCATCTTTGCCGGCAAACAGCTTGAAGATGGCCGCACCCTTTCAGACTACAACATCCAGAAAGAGTCTACCCTCCATCTTGTGCTGCGACTCAGGGGAGGTATGCAGATTTTTGTGAAGACCTTGACTGGCAAGACCATCACTCTTGAGGTGGAGCCCAGTGACACCATTGAGAACGTCAAGGCCAAAATCCAAGACAAAGAAGGCATCCCCCCAGACCAACAGAGGCTCATCTTTGCCGGCAAACAGCTTGAAGATGGCCGCACTCTCTCAGATTACAACATCCAGAAGGAATCCACCCTCCACCTTGTCCTGCGTTTGAGGGGAGGCATGCAGATTTTCGTGAAGACCCTGACTGGCAAGACCATTACTCTCGAGGTGGAACCCAGTGACACCATTGAGAACGTCAAGGCCAAGATCCAGGACAAAGAAGGCATCCCCCCAGACCAGCAGAGGCTCATTTTTGCTGGGAAGCAACTTGAAGACGGCCGCACGCTCTCCGACTACAACATCCAGAAGGAGTCCACCCTCCACCTTGTGCTGCGCCTGAGAGGCGGCTGTTAGATTCACGAACACCTTTGCAAGTTGCCAATAGCATTTGTTTGCACTGTAGCAGTTTCATGTCTTAATATTGTAAGGTGAATGCAGGTTCCTGGAGCCTCTAGACTTGTTTGTGTAAATGCTAATAAAGTTTTCCGTTGCACATTGCTCCCTGGTCTGTGTCAGGCTTGAACCCAACAACTTGTAAATCACGCCACCAGAAGGGATAAAATGAGCTGAATGGTTTAGAGAAGGTCCAAATGGCAGAGCAAGCACAGGGAAAACAAAAAGGAACAAGCCTAGTTCTCCAGTACAGTCCAGAGGTAGATTTTGTGGGGTTGGTTGTTTAATTATTTACAGTATTGATATTCCGCCCTTCTCACCTGGGACTCAGGGCGGATTACAATGTACATAATACATGGCAAACATTCATTGGCATATACACACAACATATATAGACAGAGGCTATTGACTTTCCAGCTTCTGGTCACCAGGGGAGCTGTCGCTTCCTCATTCTTTGCATACTTTCTGGAGATGTTTTATGACCTTGTAAATCAGTTAATTTATGATTTGGCTTGGCCTTTTCTAAAACATCAAACTTAAGATGACCCCATATTAATATGTTGAGCGCAGGTATGGGCAAACGGGCCTGGGAGCCAGATGCGGTCCCTTGGGCTCTTTTCTCAGGCCCTCCTTTCTCCCACCATTCTTTATCTTCCTCTTTCTCCCTCCAGTCTTCCTTTCTTCCCCTCCACTTTTTGTCTTCCCTCTTTTCTCCCTTTTCCTGTTTTTCTTTTTTCTTTCCTCTTCTCTACCTTTTGTCTTTCCTTCCTTCCATCTTTCTCCCTCTCTTTCTCTCTTCCCTTTTGTCATTCTCCTTTCTCCCTTCCCTTTTGTTTTTCCTTCTCTTTCTCCATTCCCTTCTCTTACCCTCCCTCCTCCTCTTCTCCTTCCCTCCATCCTTCTCTTCCTCCGTACTCTTTTTTCCTTCCTCCTGGGGGATGTTTATCTGGCAGAAGAGAAGGTAGAGAGGGAATGCATAGAGAAGAAGAGGGAGGAAAGGGCAGGGAGGGGACCTGGGGGCTCCCAAATTAGAAACTGCGCATGTCTGATGTAAAGGATTGATTGTGCCATGCACTTGGCTTTAAATAAGCAATATGTGGAAAGTTGAAACACTTGAATGGCGCATACATACAGTTTTAAAGTGGCATTTAAATTGGATCTGTGGGAGCCAGCCTGATTGAAGGTGGCACCACTAAGAAAGATGTTGCATATGAATATCACGTGTTGGAATTGCTTATTAAAAGTAAGTACAGAGGAAGTTACCGGACATGACTGATAGCAAAATAATGGCAGCTACAAAATCCAAAGCATTGCCCCAGATTTGCATCTACATTAAAAATGTGTCTATGGAGGTGCCTGCATGTTGCCCCATCTAGTAATGCATGTGATCGAGGCCATCTAGGTATAGAAAATGGCTCAGAGCTATCATTCTAAAAGATACTTGGCTCCCAAACCAATTTTTCTGTGCAGTTAATGGTTCTAAAGTAGTGGTTCATAACCAGAGGGCCGCGAGCCTACTTACTATTTAGGCTCCTTTTGTGCCTCCTGCCTCTGTATCGGAAACTAGAGGTGATGTGGTCTATCCAATGTAATTTTCTGAATTGGCACCCCAAACTGACCCTGAAGTTGACCAAAAACTGATCCGTAACCCCTTAGTACTAATGTTGGATAGTGGCCCCTGGTCAAGTAGTCCTCTTCAGATGTCCCTGACCAAGAAGTCCTGGTCAAAGACATCCCTAGTCAAGTACAGGTCAAAAGACGTCCCTGGTCAAGTAGTCTGGTCTAAGACGTCCCTGGTCAAAGTCCCTTGTCAGAGGTCCTGGTCGAAGAGGTCCCTTGTCAAGAAGCCCTGGTTGAAGAGGTCCCTTGTCAAAAGGTCTTAGTCAAAGTGTTCCTTGGTAAAAGATGTCCCTGGTCAAGTAGTCCAGGTCAAAAGACATCCCTAGTCAAGTACAGGTCAAAAGACGTCCCTGGTGAAGTCCTGGTCAAGTAGTCTGGTGTAAGACGTCCCTGGTCCCTTGTCAGAGGTCCTGGTCGAAGGTCCCTGACCAAGAAGTCCTGGTCGAAGAGATCCCTGGTCAAAGTGGTCCCTTGTCAGAGGTCCTGGTCGAAGAGGTCCCTGACCAAGAAGTCCTGGTCAAGGACGTCCCTGGTCAAGAGGTCCTGGTCTAAGTGGCCCCTTATCAAAAGGTCCTAGTCAAAGTGTTCTTTGGTCAAAGATGTCCCTGGTCAAGTAGTCCAGGTCAAAAGACATCCCTGGTCAAGATGTCCCTTGTCAAGAAGTCCTGATCAAGAGGTCCTTGGTCAAAGACATCCCTGGTCAAAGTGGTCACTGGTCAAGAGATCCTTAGTCAAAGACGTCCCTGGTCAAGAGGTTCTTGGTCAAAGTGGTCCCCGGTCAAAAAAAGGTTGGGAACCACCATTCTAAAGGATGGCTTCAAAGCTTCCAGTGACTCAAAGCCTCTTGAGTTGGCTTTGCTTGAATAAGCGGGCCTCCATTTGCTCCGTAACACAAAGGAGCCCCTTTCTGTTTTATAATAACAAATGTGACCTGCATATTTCCCGGGGCTATAAATACAAGGCTTGCCTGTTTAAGCAGCTTTGTGGCAGAGAGTCCAGTGGTGACGAAGATGCTTTAGGGGTGGCTTAACATTCTTTTGCGCTATGAGCCAGAATAATGCGCTTGGGTTTCTTAGCAAAGCTTGCTTTCTCAGCCACCGCTTTGTTTTGCACCAGGTTTACAAAGAAGCTGGTAGAGCCTGACACAAAGGTAGCCCCAAGCCCTCAGCAGCGTAGCACCTTACATAAAACCCATTTGACTTTTGGGTTTTGCAAGCATGCATGGTGGGAATCCATGGAGACAAAGGGCTGTGGGATAGATGTATTCTCCATTGTGGTCCCTGTGAAATCGCACATATGAAAGGAACTTTGCAAATTTCACAGGTGACCACTTGGAGAAACACAGTTACAGGTAAGCAACCATTACTTCTGAAGGCTAATCCATGCTTAATCAATGATTAGTGGGATTTCCTGCTATCCTGAGCTCTTTATTGATCAGACAAGGGTTCACTTTGCGAGAGACGAGAGATGATGTTCCTCAAGCTGTTTCCTTCTCTCCTGGAGACTAAGACTCGATGGAGCCATGGGTTCAAATGACACTGAAGGAGATTCCACTTGAACATTAGGAAGTCCTTCCTGATAACTCTGCCTTAGAGTCAAGTGAAGGTCTTGAAACAACCCAAATGGCCATCTGTTAGGGGGGATTAGAGTGTGCTTTTCCTGTAGGGTAGGAAAAGGTTGGACACCCTTTCAGATATTTATGCAAAGCTCTCATGTCTCTTCTCGGCCTTCTCTTTTGAGGCTAAACAAGCCCAGTTCTTCAAGACACTCCTCAGAGGGATTATTCATGGTCTCCAGACCTTTGATCCTTTGCTATAATAAATATTTATATGTCACTTTTCTCCCACAGTGGAGACCCAAAGCAGCTTCCAACATGATAAAAACACAATACAAAATCAAACAACCGTCATAGAATCCTAGAGTTGGAAGAGACCCATGGGACATCTAGTCCAACCCCATTCTGTCATGCAGGAAAAGCACAAAGTACCCCTGACAGATGGCCATCCAGCCTCTGTTTAAAAGTTTCCAAGGACGGAGCTTCCACCAGACTTGAGGCAGAGAGTTCCACTGCTGAACAGCTCTCGCGGTTTAGGAAGTTCTTCCTTGTGTTTAGATGGAATTTCTTTTCCTGCCATTTGAAACAAACCATGGCTCTCGTCAAGACTGAGAAAGTAGGCAAAAGGGAGGATAAACAGACAAGTGGAGCCCTGCTGGCAGTGTATGTTTGGTCCACATCTGTCATTGGCTGGGGTCAGTGCTCTCTGGATAAGGGAGAACTACAACTCCCAGCTTCCCAGGGTAATCACCCCCCAATCCTGCCAGTATTCGCAGTTGGCTATGTTGGGTCTGTATCCATCAGCTACGTTTAGTGCTTTCTGAATAAGGGTGAACTATAACTCCCAGATTCCCAAGGCAATCACCCCCAAAGCCCTGCCACTATTCATGGCTTAGTGCTCTCTGGATCAAGTGAACTACAACTCCCAAAATCAAGGTCAATTCACACAAACCCCTGCAGCATGTTCAGTTGGTCATGGGGCTCCTCCGTGCAAAGTGTGATCCTCTTCCATTGTTGGTGGGAGTCACAGTTACCTGAATACAGGTGAACTACAACTCCCAAAATCACAGTCAGTTCACATAATCCCCTGCAGCAGGTCATGGGGCTCCTCCATGCAAAGTGTGGTCGTCTTCCATTGTCGGTGGGAGTCACAGTTACCTGAATGCAGATGAACTACAACTCCCAAAATCAAGGTCAATTCCCACAAACCCTTGCAGCATGTTTAGTCGGTTGTGGGGCTCCTCCGTGCAAAGTGTGGTCCTCTTCCATTGTTGGTGGGAGTCACAGTTACCTGAATACAGGTGAACTACAACTCCCCAAATCAAGGTCAGTTCACACAATCCCCTACAGCAGGTCATGGGGCTCCTCCATGCAAAGTGTGGTCCTCTTCCATTGTCGGTGGGAGTCACAGTTACCTGAATGTAGGTGAACTACAATTTCCAAAATCAAGGTGAATTCACACAAACCCCTGCAGCATGTTTAGTTGATCATGGGGCTCCTCTGTGCAAAGTGTGGTCCTCTTCCATTGTTGGTGGGAATCGCAGTTACCTGAATGCAGGTGAACTACAACTCCCAAAATCAAGGTCAATTCCCACAAACCCCTGCAGCATGTTCAGTTGGTCATGGGGCTCCTCCATGCAAAGTGCAGTCCTCTTCCATTGTTGGTGGGAGTCACCGTTACCTGAATGCAGGTGAACTACAACTCCCAAAATCAAAGTCAAGTCACACAAACCCCTGCATTATGTTCAGTTGGTCATGGGGCTCCTCCGTGCTAAGTGTGGTCCTCTTCCATTGTTGGTGGGAGTCACAGTTACCTGAATGCAGGTGAACTACAATTCCCAAAATCAAGGTCAAGTCACACAAACCCTTGCAGTATGTTCAGTTAGTCATGGGGCTACTCTGTGCAAAGTGTGGCCCTCTTCCATTGTTGGTGGGAGTCAGAGTTACCTGAATGCAGGTGAACTGCAACTCCCAAAATCAAGGTCAATTTCCAGAAACCCTTGCAGTATGTTCAGTTGGTCATGGGGTTGAGTCCCGGTTCATTGTCCGTGTCAAGTTGGGTCCCATGTCACTGTTTCTCTGGATGCAGGTGAACTACAACTCCCAAAATATAGGTCAGTTTCCCCCAAACTTTTCCAGTATGTTCTGTCGGTCATGGGGAGTCTGTGTGCCAAGTTTATTCCAGGTCCGTCATTCATGGGGGTCGCAGTAGTCTGTTGAAGTTGGAGCTGGATTGGGTGGAGGTACTGCAAATCCCATCATCCATGCTCCACCCTCCCTCAAACCGTACCAGGATGTAAAGTGGGTCATGGGGCATCTGTGTGCCAAGTTTGGTTCAAGTCCGTCATATTTTGGGTTGCGTTTCTCCTATTACTTCATCCACTCCGGATTGCTCAGGTTGAACCCCAATCTCCTTTTGAGAGAAGACTGAGGCAAAGAAGGTGTTGAGTAGCTCGGCCTTTTCCCTGTCTCCCCCATTTTAGCATTTCCACCATATGAAGCATCTTTGAGCAAAGGAGGCTGCGTGTTTTGCACCTCGTCCGTGTTCTCGGTTGCAAAGCTTCCCGCAAACTGTTTTGTCGCCCGTGATTGATAGTTTTATAAAAGCGATGACGCTGCTTAGCATTCATCAGCCTGCTCGCAAGGCCATTTCCCAGAACTTGGGCCTGCAAAGTGATTAAATGCTGCGATCTTGAGTCGGGAGCAATTGATTTGTCTGCTCGGTTTGCATCATGGATTTGGACCGTCTTTTGTGAGATATTTGGGCCTAATGATGCACAGTGACTGTGCATTTGGATCACAGATTCAATCACCTAAGCATTTAAAAATATTGAAAATGTTTCCCCGATATATTAAAAAGGCAAACCTTGGTTCTTCCCCCCATCTATACATATAATATTTGAGTCTGCGGAGAGAAAAGGCAAGGCATTAATAATAATAATAACAACAACAACATTATTATTAATAATAAAATAAAATATTATTATAAACATAAACATAATAAACATAATAATAATAATAATAATAATAATAATAATAATAATAATAATAATAATAATAATAATAAAAAGACTGGCACAAACCAGTAAAGGTGGTCCCAGTGGTGATCAGCACACTGGGTGCAGTGCCTAAAGACCTTGGACTGCACTTAAACACAATAATAATAATAATAATAATAATAATAATAATAATAATAATAATAATAATAAAAATAATAATAAAGACTGGCACAAAGCAGTAAAGATGGTCCCAGTGGTGATCGGCACACTGGATGCAGTCCCTAAAGACCTTGGCCTGCACTTAAACACAATAATAATAAAGACTGGGATATTATTATTTTAATAACAATAATATTAAAATAATATAATAATATAAACATAAACATAAACATAATAATAATAATAATAATAATAATAATAATAATAATAATAATAATAATGACTGGCACAAAGCAGTAAAGATGGTCCCAGTGGTGATCGGCACACTGGATGCAGTCCCTAAAGACCTTGGCCTTCACTTAAACACAATAATAATAAAAACTGGGATATTATTATTTTAATAACGATAATATTAAAATAATATAATAATATAAACATATTGTCGAAGGCTTTCATGGCTGGAATCACTAGGTTCTTGTGGGTTTTTTCTGACCGTATCTCGGCCTACGAGCCCACGAGGACCTTGAGATCTTCTGGGGAGGCCCTTCTCTCGGTCCCGCCTGCCTCACAGGCACGCCTGGCGGGGACGAGAGAACGGGCCTTCTCAGTGGTGGCCCCCCGGCTGTGGAACTCCCTCCCTGCTGAAGTTAGACAGGCGCCCTCCCTCATGGCCTTTCGTAAGGGCCTGAAAACATGGCTTTTCGAGATGGCCTTCAACTGAGTGCTACGTTATTGGAATTGACGACTGGAATGGACTACGACTATGAGATTGATTATGACCACATGTTAAGACGAAGCGGATTTTTAGTATAAGTAGATGTTATGTAGCATGTTGTCGTTCTGTCTTGACCTATTGTAAATTGTCTTTTCTATGTTTTTGTACACCGCCGCGAGTCGCCCTAGGGCTGAGAGCGGCGGTTAACAAGTGCAAGTAATAAATAAATAAATAAATAAATTTTTCGGGCTATAGAGCCATGTTCTAGAGGCATTTCTCCTGACGTTTCGCCTGCATCTATGGCAAGCATCCTCAGAGGTAGTGAGGTCTGTTGGATTAACTCTAAAATTACAACAGCAAAACAACAGAGAGGAAACAACCAGGCACAGATTAACACCTCCCAGCAAGAGATTTTCCCAGGCTCAGGCAGGCCTTCAAATGCTAATGAAGGTGATCAGCTAAACATTCACACCTAACTGCAGCAGGGAAGAGCTCCTTGCCCCACCCCAGCCATTCTACAGATATATAAACCCATCTTTCCTACTTCCAACAGACCTCACAACCTCTGAGGATGCTTGCCATAGATGCAGGCGAAACGTCAGGAGAAATGCCTCTAGAACATGGCTCTATAGCCCGAAAAAACCCACAAGAACCTAATATAAACATAGTAATAATAATAATAATAACAACAACAACTCTGGCACAAACCAGTAAAGGTGGTCCCAGTGGTGATCGGCACACTGGATGCAGTCCCTAAAGACCTTGGACTGCACTTAAACACAATAATAATAATAATAATAATAATAATAATAATAATAATAATAATAATGGGATATTATTATTTTAATAATATAGACACATTATAGCAGTGGCAGATATAATAATAATAATATAATAATAATAATAATAATAATAATAATAATAATAATAATAATAAAGACTGGCACAAAGCAGTAAAGATGGTCCCAGTGGTGATCGGCACACTGGATGCAGTCCCTAAAGACCTTGGCCTGCACTTAAACACAATAATAATAATAATAAGACTGGGATATTATTATTTTAATAATATCATTAAAATAATATAATTAAAATGATATAATAATATAAACAATAATAATATTAAAATATAATAATAATATAATGGAATATTATTATTTTAATAATATCATTAAAATAAAATAATTAAAATAATATAATAATATAAACAATATTAATATTAAAATAATAATAATAATAATAATAATAATAATAATAATAATAATGACTCTGGCACAAACCAGTAAAGGTGGTCCCAGTGGTGATCGGCACACTGGGTGCAGTGCCTAAAGACCTTGGCCTGCACTTAAACACAATAATAATAATAATAATAATAATAATAATAATAATAATAAAGACTAGGATATTATTATTTTAATAATAATATTAAAATAATAATATTAAAATAATATAATAACATAAACATAAACACAATAATAATAATAATAATAATAATAATAATAATAATAATAACAACAACAACAACAACAACTCTGGCACAATCCAGTAAAAGTGGTCCCAGTGGTGATTGGCACACTGGGTGCAGTGCCTCAAGACCTTGGCCTGCATTT